AACAACCCGGCTCAAGAGCTATACTTTTAGGCTGGCCTAAATCTATATATTAAAGAGTGGCCCTTATAAGCTTGCAAATTCCCAATTACAATATCCCAAAAACAACAACCTCTTGAAACTCTCCTCATTAACAAAACTATATTGAATATCTACAATCAAATGAAACTATTTTTTACCATGTGCTTAAAAAAGACAGACTCACTTCTACTCCATCAGGTGGTGGCAACATTCCAAGATGTTCAAACTTGGCATCCAATTTATAAAATGCAAGCTCCTGCTCCAATTTGAACTGCTTTTCACAAGCTTTGGAAAGTTCTGATGTCTTACTTGCCAACTGACAATATAAAATGAACACACTTCAGCCGTTGTTACTACATGTGCATCAATTACTACATGAATTAAAAACAACATCTGCAATCTGGTAATTAAATTGTCAGTAAACTCTTCCACAATTAAAATATTAAACAATTTCTCTGTTTTAGTACCAATTCTTCCTTGGCTTCCAGCTCTAGGTGAAGTTCTTTAATCTTCTGAGACTGATCCACACTCTGTGTTTGCTGCTCAGAATTTAGCTTTTTGAGTTGTTGTAACTCCTCCAGTGCTTGGCAGTTTTCTTCTAGTAACACTTCATACTCCTTTTTCAGGCGATTTATTTCAGCCTCCAGTCTTCTAACCTCCTCTGGGTGAACAAGAAAGTTACTTGCATGAAGAAAGTAAAAGACAAGTTTAATGCATATCACAAAAAGAATACAAAATTATTGTCATTCCATTTTCACTTTGAACAGAGTCAGGTCTTGAGTTTATGAACTGCACGTGGGTCTAATGTTACGTCAATGAAGTGTCACAATCAATGGGTGACCTTCCATAATAAATATTTCTAAAATGCAGATTCTTCAAAACTCTGTAAGTAACCAAAGATCAAGAAAAAATACTGTATGTGACTAGCAGATATTTCCCTGAGGCAGCAAAATATTTACTGTACACATGCAAAGTGAGATCTGTCAATCATACAGACTTTTTTGGTAATTGAATTAAAGTCATTCATAGAAAAAACATTGCTAGGCCTGCATCGCTGTGAAGAATTACATTGTACCTTGAGCAAACCGTTTGTCTGCCATCTGCCTCTCCTCAACAGAAATCTCTTTGCCATCCAAACAATTCAGAGATCTCAACTGAAAGATGACAAACAGCTGACTGTGTTCCAGGCTTGCCATAGGATTGCCGTCCATGGAAAAATTACTCAGATCTTGCAGAGGTCTCAGTTTCGTGACCTCAATGTGCTATTGAATGATATTAAAGATATTATTAGTCAACAACCTTTTTATTGCAAGACATTTTAAAAAAACACAGAAGGCCTGCAATGCATACAGAGAGCTACACATAATTTATAATCATCATGAGTCAGAATTCTTGATGCAATGTGGTAAGTATGGAAGACAATGAGCCTTGGAAAAGGAAAAAGGATCCTTTAAAATGGCTTGGCACGTCTCTCTCTGCTAATTATACAATCAAATGAGGGCAGACAAACATTAAAATTCAGCCCACTTCACACAAGGAATGGGTTAACTCTGCAGATTACAACTGCAGTGTCGTATCTTCATGTGATCAGACAACCAGTCTAAATGTTTTTTGTTTTTTTTAGCTGCAGAATAGAAATGGTCTGTGAACAGCACTGAATTTCAACCTATGTCAATGGATGGCTGCTCTTGATACTGCAAGTGCTTTATTTGTAATTTTGATTGATTGAAATACTTTGTGTACTTACGCTGCCAATTCTGTTGTGTGCAATGTGAAAGGCCTGGAGTTCCTTCAGTTTCTTGAAAACTGGAGCAGGCAGAGTTTCAATCAAGTTTCCATTAAGATTTAAGACAGTTAAATGCACAAGACAGTCAAGGCCTTCTATCTTTGGAATGCAGTTGTTAGCTAAGTGAAGTTCCCTCAACTGTGTCATATCATCCAGTTTTTCTATCTTCTCAATCATGTGGTTATTCAAATTTAGGTGAAGAAGCTTTTTCAGATTCTCCAAGTTTTCAATATACTGGAAGAAAACAGTGAAAATGCAAGGTTACTATCCTTAAGTGAGAAAACACTGATGTTTGCCATTTCATCAAGTGATAAATAATAAAACTTGCAGTGGCAAGGATGAGCTTTGCATCCTGCTGTATCTAGCTAAAACAGCAATAAACAATTAACACGGATTGAAATGATTGTATATGTAACAATGTTACTGAATCAGATACAGACTTTGAATTATTTACCTTAATTTTCTTTTTAAGCTCCTTTCCTAATGTTACATGTAGAGATGTTATTTGAGCTATGTTCTCCTGTCTAGTCAGTCTCCTGATCAGATTTTCTGTTAAGTAAGCAACCCCAGACTTGGATGGGCTTGTCACATCTCTAGTTGGAGGTTCATCGGAATCTAAAAATGAATGTTCATTGTTGTCTTACAGATATTACTAATTCACATCTGATACCAACAAAATTTGAAATTTAAGAACAGGGGAGATCATAACAGTCTTTTGCGTACGACTTAGGCAGCCTGAAAATTCAGGATTCCAGCTCTCAGTATGACTTCTGTGATAATGGTGCAGTGCTCTACCAGCTGAGCGATCAAACCAACTAGAAGCTGATTATGTTGTGAACTCATGCTATACCCATGGATGGTGAAGATATAGACGCACATATATGCATGATCATATATGGATAAACTTAAAGTGATTATGATAGCAAAGATCATTAAGCAGTTTTGTATGATATTGATCACTCCTGAAATGCACCAAGAAACATCCATGTCAATAAGCCCCCGCCCAACAGGGTCTTAAATTGTGAACTGTTTTAAAAAATATCGATATTTTCACCCACAGCAGGTTACCTTGGTTTGAGCCCATGAACTGCACTGGAAATTCCAGTCTGGACACATTCTTTCTCTTAAAAGTTTAAACTTTTTAACCACCCATCCCACACCCCTTCCACTAGAGAATTTTCAACAATGAAGCATATCGATCTGAGTGATATTCAGGCTAACCTATATTTCCATTGTCAAGTGCTAACCATAAACGGGTTATTCAGACTAATTGGAGTGAAAGTCTGTACTCCAGTTGGCCTGAATAGCCTTCCCATTACTTGAATATCACTCTGGTTAGCTTGAATATCACTTAGGTTAGTCTGAATAATGCTCCAGATTGCCTGTTTACAGTTAGCTCTCAATGAGAGACTGCAGTCTGCAGACTGCAGACTGCAGACCGGGTGTAAAAATGCAGATTGAGCCCTGGTAACATGCAGACTGTAGACTAGGGGTAAATCACAGACTGCAGACTACAGACTTTTCAAGTATATATCGTGTTATTTCCATTATCAAGTACTAACTGTAAATGGGATTATTCAGGCTAATTGGAGTGAAAGTCTGCACTCCAGTTAGCCGGAATAGCGTTCCAGTTAGCTTGAGTATCACTCTGGTCAGCCTGAGTATCACCCAGGTTAACCTGAATAATGCTCCAGTTTGCTTGTTTACAGTTAGCTCTCAATGAGAGAAATAGTAACACAATTTTGTTAAAAAGTTTGCAGTCTACATGTACATTGTACCCTTGGTTTGCCGTCTGCATTTTACCCTCAGTCTGCATTCTACCCCTGGTCTGCAGTCTGCAGTCTACAGTCTGCGTATTACACTGACCGGTAATTAATGACAAGCTCATAACATATCTTATTATATCTGCTCATAAGAAACATCATGAAGACCATGCAGATGCTACTCACAAACTATAAACAGGAGATGTAGGTACGTACAAGTCTTTGGCGCACATTAGCATGTCATAAGGTTGTATTCCTGATGGCCTGATGTAATCAGGTCCCTTATAGGTACATACATAGGCAGGGACATTAGGGGAAGTATTCCTGATGTTACCCTCCTGGGTACATACATAGGTGGGGTCATTAGGGGGGATATTCCTGATAGCCTGCTGTGATTAGGACCCTTCTAGGTACACTGTACATACATAGGTGGGGTCATTAGGGGGAATATTCCTGATGGCCTGCTGTTATTAGGACCCTTCTAGGAACACTATACATACATAGGTGGGGTCATTAGGGGGGATATTCCTGATGGCCTGCTGTTATTAGGACCCTTCTAGGTACACTGTACATACATAAGCAGGGTCATTAGGGGGAATATTCCTGATGGCCTGCTGTTATTAGGATCCTTCTAGGTACACTGTACATACATAGGCAGGATCATTAGGGGGAATATTCCTGATGGCCTGCTGTTATTAGGACCCTTCTAGGTACACTGTACATACATAGGCAGGGTCATTAGGGGGAGTATTCCTAATGGTCTGTCTAAGTTTCTCTGCTTCAGCCTCTCTTTTAGCCAAATCATCATAAATGCTCTTCATTCTTGTCTCCAATTCCTTTGCAACTTCCTGTAGTTTTCTTATCTGAAAAGCAAAAATGCTCAACTTCTGTTAAACCAGTAGATGGTAAGTTAAGTCAGTTTGTTGATGTTGAGCTTTATTTGATTTTGGTTTGAAATTTCATATACTAGTTGATTTTATTTTTGTTTGCTCCTGTTAACAATGATCAATTTGAT